CTGTGGTCAGTCCCGGTGTGAAGGTCGGCGCGGCACCGGCGGCTGTGGAGGAAGTCGGCGGCCTCGTCACCACTGCTGCCGCCGCCGCCGCCGCCGCCGCTGGGCCCAATCCTTCCTTGTGCAGGTCCAGGCGGCTGGCGGTGTCAGCCTCGGGAATGGGACGCAGTATGCGCCCGCCGCTGGCGCCGCTGGGTGGGTGCGCGCTAGCGTAAGGCTGACGGGAGTGGTGGTGGTGGTGCTGATGGTGGTGGTGGTGGTTGATATGCTGGTTGTGATTGTGGTGGGAGTGGGGGTAGGGGTGCTGCTGGTGCTCGGGGAAGAGGAGGTTGATGAGGGGCCGGCCGCCACTGCCCTCCCCGTAGCTGACGTCAGCACTGACGGCGACTCGCTCGGCAGTTGCAGCGCCATTGGCGGCAGCAGCGCTACCGCCGCCACCACGCGGCGGTGGTGTGACTATCGGGGACAGGTACGTCGCTCCCGTCGCTACGTCCACCGCCGGCTCCAGCGGCAGCTGCGCCAGGTCCTGCTCCTGCCACAACCCTGCCACAACTCCGCCAGTGCCTCCCGTACGCTCATCCGAAACCAATTGTGCTGGCGTATTTTGCCCGCCGCCGGGGCCAGACCCTAGGTCGCTGGCGGCGGCGCCGTTACCCACGCTGGGCCCCTCGGCGCTGCTAGGCAGTGTGGAGGTTCCTCCAGCCAGACTGCCGAGGGGGCCGTGGGTCAGCTCGGTGGCCTGGAGCACTCGTGGACCGCCAGTGCGCGGCTTGACGCCGCGGCCGCTGGCAGCACGGTTCATGCTGTTGCTGCGCCGCGGGGCGGCGTTGGAGTGGCGTGCGGCGGCGGGGAGCAGGTGCTGGAGGTGCGGGGGCAGGAATGGGTGAATGGGATACGGAGGGTGAACGGGCGTAGCCGCGGCGACCAATGGAGGGCAATCGGCTGTCAGCGGCAGCGGCGGTACACCGCCGTCTCCACCGCCGCCGGCGCCGGCCGCCATCGCCGCTGCTACCTTCAGTAGTGGCGGCGCAGCCGCACCGCCGGCTGCCGTGGACGCCGCTTGCGACGGCGACATGTGCAAACTGGAGGGCGGTGCGGACCAGTCGAGGCTGTTTACATAGCGCCGGTCGGCCGGTTGGGGACCGTTGCTGTGCGTCTGCGGCGCGGCACCGCTGGCTTGCCAGGCCCCGCTCGGAGTGGCCGAGGCTGCGGCGCTGAACAGGGCGGTGGTGTTCTGGCCCATGGACAGGCGCGCAACGAAGCGGTTGCTGCTGGCAGAGGGTAGGTGCCGGAAAGTGGACAGCTGGGCGCCACGGCGGACGCAGGACAGGTCGCAGGCAGGGAGGGAGCAGGGAGGGAGCAGCAGCAAACGGATAGTGGGAGACCAATGGAAGGCTTTTTGAGTGTTTTGGTTGCATGGTACGGGAAACCGTTGGACGGGACCGAGAGCTGCAATATGCAGAGTTGGCCAAGTAATGGCGAGTAAAACAGGTGTAGGGAACAGGCAATGTCCTTTATCAAAAGCAGATGTAACCAACCAACCAACCAACCAACCAGAACATTACTCGCATTACTGGCGAATCACATCCTCCAGTCCTGCACATGTGTGTATTAGGGGGCCCGGCAAGCAAGCAAGGACTCGAGCAACCTCCGCTCAGGTCCCCTACCCGTGCCAGACCCGGCCCTGACTGACCATCAAGTGTGAGGTGATGGGGTCCTGAACCCCTCTCTTTCCCGTACTGAGGAATCTGATTACTCCCCGGACTCGGCTGTAGCGGGCAGGGGCGCAGAGGCCATCTTGGCCATCTTGCACCACGGGGGGCCGGCTGCCCGGTCCAAATCCCATGATTATACCCAATCACGATGACCCAAACTTCACCCTCCAGCTGCTCACCTCCGCATCAACCTTGAGGCGTATCTGCATGGACAGCAGCATGGACTCACAGAACTCCCCCAGCTCATTGTGGGAGGTGGGCGCGTCGTTGTCCACCAGCAGCAGGGGAGCGATGGCTGCGTGCTGCTGCAGTTGCTTGGGCGCGGGAACCCATGCTTCTTCGAAGGGCGCTTCGATTTTGAACAAGGGCGCAGAGGCTGAGGCATAGGGCCGCGGCAGCACCGGCTGGCCCTGCGCGGACCAGCGCGCGTGCTTCGGTGCAGATGGACGCAGCAGGTTGCGGGAGATGGAGGAAGAGGCGCAGGGGGGTTCTGGCGCAGCAGAAGCAGATGGTTCTGCGTTTTTTGTGGTCGTGCTGAGGGCTGTCGAGCTGCCGGTGCGGAGGGGCACGCATGCCGACATGACTGGGTCAAACTTGTCGGATTCGTACTCCATCGGGGCCATGACTATCGTGCTGCGTTGAAAAGCGGATGTGGCACCCCACGCCGGGGCGATGCTGGCGCGAACTTCGCCACCGCAACTCGACCTGGCTCTGCAGGTTGCTGCGCTTGAATTCCAGCCCTGAGCCTCCAGGGGATTCAACTGTCCAGCCACTTCATCGATGACTGGCACCCCCTTCGAGAAACCGAAGCACGCAGCGAAGCAGGCCATCGCCGAACTCCCTATACGGTCATTGATTAAGCCTGATGCGCAAAAGTCTTGAGATTTTAATCTATCTATTTAGACTAAGGTAAGGCAGCAAATTTAGGTTATTCCCTCACCGCGAGCCACCCTGGGAATAAGATGAAGGTCTGGAGCCTGCTGTATTCAGAATTATACATAAAAAGAGCGCTACACATTTTAGTAAGTAACACATACTTATTTCTATCGATGGCATGTGTTCAGTTGTGGCCCTTATGGCTATTGACATTGATACCCCACACCAGTTGCGTCATGACAATCAAAGAAGTTATCAGAATATATGCTACAAATCTATTGATTTAGATGAAATACTCTGCGCAATTGTGCGGGACCCCATGAAGCTGCATGGATGCCCGAAAAAACTTTTCGTCCTCAAGAAACATATATAAAACCTGATAATGAATATACATATGTTGAAAGTAAGCCACGGCCCTTCGTCACGTGGCCCTGGAACCCGGCGCTAAGGCGTTAACGCCTCAACACGGTTTCTTAATAACCAACTTTAATTACATAACATACGAGTCGACTTGTAGGTTTACGTAGTGGTTACACATGGGGCGGCCTTCAAGGTGAGTTATCGTGGCCTGACATGCCAGCAGTTATAACTGTAACAATATTCCGTCTGCCGTTACTGCCGATGAAGCTTGGAATTCTTGAAAATTAAGTGCATCTATCTCATCTACTAAAGCTACTGAAGTTACACCAGCGAAAACTGATGATCCGCATTAAAGCCGGCGATAGCTTCATTTGCTTCATCTACCCAAGTTACGCTTGCGATATTACGAAGCAAGTCGTGATAGGGCTCAATGTGTGAAAGACCTTAACAACCCATTCACATGGAAGAAGTCTGTATGCTGCGCGCTTCTTTCGTAGGGCAATGCTGTAATCCAAGTGGCATTGAAAAGCAATTAAAGAACAAAGTATTTTGAGAGGGAAGTCATGCACGGTCGTTGATCAACAAAACAGGTCCCGCGCCTTCGGCGCGCTATCTGTTACTACACCGCTGTGCCTTCGGCTCGTCAGCGAGACCCATCAGGTAGAGTGCAGTGGAGAATATAAAACACTAGCACCATAGAGTTAGCCCACCTCATTGAAGCACATTTCGTAGTGCCAGTGACGGCGCATGTCCCGATATCGCTAGGCATGACTCCGCTGGTGAAGGCAACTCACAGCTATCCTACATAGCTAACTGGAATGTCACAGACTGGCATTTCCTCGAGGGCCTCTGCGACGCAGTTTATGCCCCCTGCTTTCTCTGGAGCGGGTCAACAACTCCCGCCCACCCCGGACCCAACAAGCCTGCCCCTGCAGCTACAACACTAAATGTCCTCTTGACGACGTATTTTATCAAGCTCATCCCCGAGGTCTGGACGCGACGCTGAAGGTTTGCTCTTCAGTGGATCAGGAAATCGACGTCCACCCACACCAGTGGTGGCTATGTGTGCGCTTCGTCCCATCCCCTCCGTGTGTCGACGGGCTCTACGACCCCAGGCGTGGAGTTTCCGGGGCAGCACGAGTAGTCCGATATGTCCACCACCTCCGTGCCCCTGCATGCTAGGGCCGCGACGCGGCTGGCCGCTTGGAAGGCAATTGGAGCAGATGCACGCACATTGCACGTCTTGAAGCATGGTGTCCCGGTGGAGTTTCGAGGTAACCGCCCGCCGCCTGCTTTTGACCTGCCAAGTTTTCCTGCCACAGACGAACAGAGCCGTTGGTGGTTGGAGAAGGAGGAGCCCCGCCTGGTGGCTCTCGGGGCCACCTCGCGGGTAGACCCCTCCCGTGCGGTTGATCATGTGGTGAACGCTTTTTGTGTCCCGAAACCGGACAGTGGTTCTTGGCGTTTGGTCGTTAACCTGAAGAGGATGAACGTAGCGCAGAAAGCTTACAAGTGCCGGTACGAAACCCTCCGCACCCTGCGGCGTATGGGCCTCAAGGGCTCTTGGATGGTGAAGGTGGATTTGGCGGACGCCTTTTACCACATCCCTATTCGCCCAGCGGATCGGCGTTTCTTCACTTTTCGTTTTTGTGGTGTTCTGTACGAGATGAACGCCCTGCCTATGGGGTGGCTAAATAGCCCGTATTGGTTTACAAAAATCATGCGCAATGTGGTGCGTTTTTGGCGGGATCCTTTGGCTGCGTCGGGTAAAGGTCGCAAGCGTCTCTCGCCCCCGCTCCCGCCCCACCAGTTTTTTCCCGTTTCCCGGACAGAGCGTCCTTCTCGTCCGGGTGCGCGAGTGCTGCCGTATTTGGATGACTTCCTCTTCATGTTTACTTCCGAGGAGCAAGCGCGTCTTGGTGCGCGCTGGGTGCGTGAGAGTATCGAGTTCTTGGGGTTGTCGTGCCACCCCGCCAAGTGCCAGTGGGAGCCGTCGCAGTCAGTGTACCACTTAGGCATTACGATCAATACGGCAGCTGGTGTGTTTGAGGTGCCTAAGCAGAAGCTCGCCAAATTGCGGCGGCTGGCGGGTTGCGGATCACGGCAAAGGAAAATCGGCGTCTTGTCCAGAAGCGTGAGCTGGCTAAGTTCTGTGGTTTTGCGCAGAGTGTCAAATTGGCCCTTACTCCAGCGCCTTTATTTCTCCGCAATTTTTACGACGACATTAAGCAACCGGTTGGCTGGTCCGGTCGAGTTCGCTTCTCCCGTGGGTCGTTACGCCCTACCGCATGTTGATGTTGTTACAGGGTGGTTAAGCTTCACCAGTGGCCTCCTTCCCGAGGCAATTCCCTGCTCTCCCCTGCTAGAGGGGCACCCTAAGCCATTCACCCCATCCGACTTCAGAGTGTACTCTTTGAGTTTGGCAACTCACCACCAGCATCCAACCAAATCTAGCGGATCAACGGCGCCTCAACTTAGTTCCTGGTCAGCTCGCAAGTTGATTTTATCACGTCCTACACCGTCCACAAGATGGGGGGCCACCTCCCATTTCACCACCTCTCAAACACCCGAGAGGTCGGCAGGCGGATTTGAACCCGGGTCGACCGGGAGCAGATGTTATTGACCCAATAATGGGAACGACTGGTAACCGGCCTCGGTTACCAGGCTATAAGGTTACTGGGTCGTTAACGGGCCAGGGTCGGTAATCGGTCAGTTACCCGGTAATCAGGCACCGTTACCGGGGTCGTTTATCACGCGGCCAGTTACAAGAATGTCCTCGGTAATGGGGCAAAAACTTAGAGTCTACTCCAGCGTGATTTGTGGGGATTGAACCACTACCATTAGGATCGACAATTTTCACGAGGTCTCGCCACCAAATGTAGACTCTAGCCGCTGAAAAGGCCTGACAACATGTTAGAAATCGCGCTCCACGCGTATTTATACCGCCGTACTGTGTACCAGCTACTACAGGGCCATGCCGACCACGGGCCGAGGTGGGGCACGTTACTTGCTAACACCGCTGGACGGTGCCTCCGGTCTGTCCGCCTCTGTTCGCACGCTGGTTAGCATGGTTAGCAAACACCAAGTGGGCGAAGGACATGGTGCAGGACATGGTGACGCAGCTGGAGGCTTGCCACCCGAACCATGCACGGGTACGCACACTTCATAGTGATAACGGTGGTGAGTATGTCGCCGAGCAACTGGAGCAGTGGCTACGCCAGCACGGCACTGCGCACACCCACTCGGCACCGTACACCCTGGAGCAGCACGGAGCAGCGGAGCAGCTCAATTGCACGCTCCTCGACCGTGTGCGGGCTATGCTGTACGATGCCATGCTCTCGGACAGCTATTGGCCGGAGGCTGTGCTCTACACCAACCTCCTGCGCAATGTGGCTCCCTCTCAGGGCCGGGAGGCCACGCCGTGGGCACCAGCCCCACCCGTCCTGGCGGCAGCGACCCTGGCGGCGGCTCAACACAGCCTGCCACACCGCCAACTCAAGTGGATGCCCCGCCCCCAGTGAACCCAGCGGCCCCCCTCCGCCCTAACACTCGCAGTCAACGGCAACCGCTGCACCCGCCGTTGGCCCCGGTCAGCCCGGCCAACAACAGCAGCGGCGGCGGCGGAGATTTGGGTAGTCCACCGCTGCTTAACAAAGCATCGGATAGCACCGATCACGCTGAGTTTAACGTGCCCGACGGCAGTGCCAACGGCAGAGGCAATAGCGCGGCGCAGGAGCTTAACATGCCCGACGGCAGTGTGGGCGGCGGAGGCAACAGCGCGGTGCAGGAGCCGCGCAATTATGAGGAAGCGGTGGCGAGTCCGCAAGCTGACAAGTGGAAGACTTCGATGGATGACGACATTCTGTCGCAGCTCTCCAACAAAACATGGGAGTCGGGCACACCGCCGCCCGGTGCACGCATCCTGGACTGCCGCTGGGTTTACAAGATCAAATAGGAGCCTGGCAGTGAGGTACGCTGTAAGTCGCGTTTGGTGGTGAAGGGCTTAGAACAGCGCGTGGGCATAGACTACGGAGAGCTGTTTGCGCCCACCACGCGTGCAGCCTCCCTGCGGGCACTTCTAGCTGTGGCAGCGGCCAGGGGTATGACGGTCCATCAGATGGACGTCAAAACGGCTTTCTTAAACGGCGACCTGGCAGAGGAGCTGTGGATGCGACAGCCACCAGGTTACAGCAACGGCGACCCGACGCAGGCGTGCCAGCAGTCCGTCTACGGCCTCAAGCAAGCCCCATGCTGCTGGTACGAGAAACTGGCGGCGGAGTTGGGCAAGCTAGGCTATGAGCCGTCTATGTCCGACCCCGCACTATTCGTCAAGCGCGGGTCCGACGGCTCAATTTATGTGCTCGTGCACGTTGACGACATGCTGGTGGCGGCACACAACCTGCAATTGGTCGCGGCCGCCAAGGCGGCCATAGCTGGTTGCTTCGCAGTACGAGACCTTGGAGAGGCGCGCTACTACATCGGCATGGAGATCATCCAGGACCGCCGCAACCGCAGCATCATGCTTACGCAGCACAGTGCTGGGCATCACTTAGATCGCCAGAGGAGGAGTGCTGAGGGCTTTGAGGATCGGCCTCAGTTCATTCCTTTTTTCCAAACGCCAAAATGGCCTGTTTATTACTTTTAAGGAATATATTACTTAAAAAAAAGACACTGAGCTGAGTACCGGCCATAGTGGGCTGTCCTTGCTGCTGTAAATTAATACGAAAAACGATAGTCTTCAAACCTGTAACCAGCCCCGGTTAC